CACACACACACACACACACACACACACACACACACACTTGTGCAGGAAAAGTACTAATACACATAAAATAAAAATAAATAAATAATAAAAATTCAGAACTTGGAGGTGAATCAGTAACTTTATACATTTTGTGATTATTTTAAGTTAGTAAACAAGATATATGGCTTCATCGTGCCATTTTCATATGTATTCCCTTATCTCCTTTATCCTTCTTCTGTCTCAATGATCTTTAGTCTCTCCTCTTATTATCAATGAAGAAGATGGTGCTCAGCCTTCTTCCTATGAATTATTTAAAATCCTTATGTGGAAGGGCACAGAGAGGAATAGTCTCATCTGAGATGAAAGGGAAATAAAATAGCAACTGATGGGGCTAGCAATAAAACAAACTGCTGTGATCTCTGTGTCTGTAAACTGATATTACACATTTAAATATGATTCTGTGTTCCAGATTTCATGATCTACAAATCTATAATAATTTTCATATAAATTGTGTTCTTCTGTATAAGATAAACTCAATGGGGGAACTTATAAAATATAGAAGACAAACAGAATCTATATTACAGAGCTCAAGATCAGAGCTGAGAAGACATACATCATACAGTAATACTTTATCTTGTGGATACTATTTTATGCTCATTCTCATATTCATCATCATCTTCAAAATGATTTCTCCGTTTAAGCTTGGAGTTTATTGAGATCTGTTTTTTTCTACACAGTGGAAGTATGCTCAGTATTATAGTAAAGCATATATTAAAGAGTTCTGAGATCATAGTCCCTAAAATTCATGAACTCCATAACTGAAAGGTTGAAAGTTATTCTCCAGTCTACCCAAAGCATGTGTTAGTCTTGATCAGGAATAAAGAATGCTTCTGACCATCATTTCTTCTTCCTTCAACTCCACCTGGACTGATGAATTTCCACTGCAGTTGTGGTGGTTTATGACCAAGTAGTGATGTTCACATTCATTTCTACTGAAATATGTGGATTTAAATCTCATGTTTCCTCTTCATGACTCCCTTTGACACATAGAAATACCATAATGCAAAATGCAGGAGAATGAGACACTGGACTAAAGCCTACTGTCCTTAAACCAATCATACTATAGAGTTGTAGGCATGGGATAATTACTTTACATGTCATTTAAAGTTTCACACAGAGATAACCAACTGCCAAAATTTATGCATTTGATGAGGTTGATTACTGCTTCCTAAGAGTAATTAAGTGAGAATGAGGAAAAGAGGGTAAAGAAGAAGAGGATTAGGAAGAGTAAGTTGAGTAGAAGAGGAAGTGGAAGACAAGGAGAAAATAAAGAAATTAATGTCCACAAAAGCCATGGGCTTCTTCTGGTACTCAGGAGTAATATTATTTACAATATTCATTTTATTCATTTCCTCCTATTTTAAAGTATGAACAGCTCTCTATATCCTATGGTGCAAGGTATTCATAGTAAAATCCACCCACTATAACAATTTTTAGGAGTCAGTTTGACCACATTATTCACATTCACAATTTTGAGCAATCTTCATTATTACTGACCCAATAAATTTTGCTTACCTTCCAAACTGAACTAGTGGACTGTAGGATGATGTCTACAATGCTCTGGATGGATGGTTATTACTTAAAATTGCAACCAAAAAGTTATTCTTGCCTTAGTTTGTTTATATTGTAAAAAAAAAAAATAGCCATGAGGTCCTCTTGTGATCATGGAATTTGACCTCAATCAATCATGACCCTTCCTTACCCATGATCTAAAATAATCTCTGAAAATGTGAATGCATGCATGATTTTACATATCAAAGCACTTCAAACAGAGCATTTATCAGGGAAAACAATAAGAGAAATACATCTGTTTGTGGTTGTTCATATGTTCTATTCTAAATCAGTAGGGATAAGAGAAGGTATAATTTTTCTCTCATAAGACAATTCTGGTTTTACTTCCTTATTGCTGAATATAGTTTCAATAAAGGGAAAATGAGCCCTTTATTCAAGAGCGCAATTCCAATGCGATTCTGAAGGAATGTGTTCATAGTAGTTCAAGTCTATTCTTGGCTTAATATAGATGACAATATCAGGTGCTTTTTATTTAAGTAAACCTGCTATGTGGCCTTGCATAATAAATGTGTGTGTCCCAGAGGGCTGGTTCCTCCAAGGGGTGGGTCCTGTTGTAGAGACTTGACTGTGGAGAGTTAGAAGTGGAGGGGGGGAGCCTTTGATGCCATCTTGGAAAGGAAGCAATGCATGAGGAAAAGATGGCCCCAGTGTCTCACCAGCATGGATGTGAGAGGGTGCATTTACCAACCTGGGGTGAGACTGCGGGCCCACACTGCATGTGAGAAAGCTAATGGAGACTGTGATCGGGAGCAGAAGTGATCTGGAATGGTGGGTCAAGCCATGCAGAGCTGAGTGCCAGGTGTCCAGTGTTTGTTTCTTTGTAAGTCTCTCTCCTCCACTTCCGAAAGATAGAAACTATAAAAAATTCAGATGAAGCTGTGCTATATGGTTTATATAATAGCACCAAGGGCAAGGGACCCTACAAAACCTGGGCAACAAATTGGCACTTGTCAGCAGGAAGATAGCTTTAGAAATGACAAACCACGGAAGCTTGGAAAAGTTAGAGAGCTAACGGTAGTACTGATGTGCATTTTACAGTGGATTATAAAATATGTAACTAAAAAGAGGCCAGCCATGCAGAATTATGGGCCACAGCTGTGTTGTAAATGTGGGGAAACAGCCCAATTGCTGATATATGAAGATTTGTTAAAGGTTATAGAAAAACTAGAAAAACTGTTGCAGACCATGGAAACTAGTGGAGAATCCAGAGAGAAGGCATGGCCACTTTGCATAATAAAAGATGTGCCCAAGGTAGGGAAAGGTGAAAAGGCTAGGGAAGTACTGGCACCCCAGTTGTAGAGCTTGAGAGAGAAAAAGCCAGGACATTTTAATGTGTGTAAGGTCCAAGGACTCAAGGGAAAATATAGATAATAGTAAAAAAGGAGATGACCTAAAAATAAAAGTAGCTAAAGCTGCCTCCCAGATTCAATCATTGATACAAAAGGAAAAAAAAATGCTAACAGTGCTGTAGCTAGGAAATACCCCACACTGGAACTGTTAAAACTAGGAAAAACTTACAAGCAAGAAATCAAAGAGCCCCTAGACATGTGTCTTGTGAGAGTGTGGGCCATGGGAGCAAATGACATCAATCTGAGTCCTTCAGAAGTTTCACAGCTGAGTTACATAACCACCCATCCATCCTTGTGATATAGGCTGTTCAACCTAGGCTAATGTGGGGGGGATCAGTCCTTAATGGGATGGCTGATGGAAGGCATTAGAGATCCATGGTCATCACCAAGTGAAACTCCGATAATTAACATTGGCTGGAGGACTATAAAGGAAGGGCAGGCATTACTGAGAGAACTAGGTATTAGAAAAGCAATATATGATACCCAGTTCACTAGGCCAGATAAGACTGTGTTCACCAGAGTTTTAAGAAGGCTTAATTCAAGTAGGACCTTGAAAATGGTATGGAGCTTTAATGGTTTTGCTAAGCCCTTTAATGGGACAGGATATTTGTGAAGTGAGAGAGGCTTTAGCAGATCTAAATGATTCTAACCAGCATGTAAAACATGTCTGCAGAGTAACAGACCACCCTACAAGAGATATAAAAGAGACAAGACAGAAAAAAAATGGTCTGTTTGAGTTACTCAAAGACAAATGTGGCAAGACTTATGTCAAGCCCAAATTCTCAGAGAAAAAAAATTGATATAAAACCAAATTTGAAACTAAAGAGTATCTGGAAGCCTTTATCTCTTCTGATAAAAGCTGTACTAGGGGTAGAAGCAGTTTTTCCAACCAAGGCCTCCCCCAGAATGCAGGTATGGTCAATGAAGAGATAACAGATATGGCTACAGTCAGGAGGCAGACCCTGGGCCTGCCTGACACAGGGAAACAGGTGCAGGGGGAATGGGAGAAACCCCCTACCTCTGTAGCCCACTGAAGGGTCAGGCAACTGGAGCTAACATCTATAAATGTGTCAAGAATAAAATAATACAAGACTTCATGTAAAATCCCCCAAGTGTGAAATGACTCCAAAGGGATAACTAAAAATAGTAAAGAACAAACTGAATTAATGCCTCATACTCATGCTATGGTACCTAACAAGGATCTATGGAGAAAACAGTTAATATGAATGGATAAAACCTTTCCATGCTGTGTTAGTCCTTATCTATGATTGATTTAATATATAATGTTAACATTACTTAGAGTGTTTTACAGATGTGAAATCCATTTGAAAGACACCTGAAGAAGCAAAGACTGGCTCTAGATATAAGATTCTTGGGAGTTTTATGGTTGGATAAGATAAAAACGGAGGCTCCCAAACTCTACAACTGTTAAGAAAATCTACAGTGCCAGGGGTGGTTTGCTCCACTTTGAGCTGTTGGTCAGAAAGAGATCCTAGAGGACCTCAAATTCACCAAGGCTATTGCCACTAATGTTGGTTGTACACTGGAAAGGTCGGTAAGGCCATGTTGCTGAAGACACTGCATGATGTGAGCATGGGAGAAGAGATGGAACTGAGAATAACCCAAAAAACTCCATGCCACAGGATGGCAGATGTTCATAGTGCCAGAAGGTGCTATAAAGATGGTCAGGGAAGAAAGGATCCCCTATGATTCTACTCAACCATAGACCCTGCATGCTGTGCACTATGAACTTGCCAAGCAATGTCTGCATGTGCAGTAATGGCTCGACCAACACACGTACAACTGACAAACTTCTAATTGGATAAGGCCCACTCCTAGATGTGGAACACACATAGGGTTCTGTATGTAGACGAGGCCATCTCCCTATGTCTAAAAGGCTACAAGCCCTAGCAGGGAAGCCATTACAAGTATACTGTTTATTGAATATAGTCCACCTACTGGGATATCTTCTAGGCATTTGTTTTTACATTCATGTTTGTTTAGTTGTGTCTACTTCCTTCCATTTGCTTTATAGTAGAAGAAAAACCACTGACATAGATCAATGGCCACAGCTTGAAGATGGATAATGAAGATGTCCCAGAAGTCACTATCTCACCACGATACAAGAGAGATCACTGTATATCTGTCACACCCTCTGAGGCTAAGGGACCTTAGCAGAAGATTGGAGGAAAAATTGTAAGAGTGGAGGAAAGGGGTGGACTGTGTCCCAGGAGGTCTGGTTCCTCTAAGGGGCAGGGTCTGTTGCAGAGAATTGAATGTGGAGAGTTAGTAGCTGAGGGAGGAGTTTTTGATGCCATCTTGTGGAAAAGATGGTCAAGGTGCCTCACCAGCATGAATGCAAGAGGGGGCATTTACCAACCTAGAGTGAGACTGTGTGCCCACTCTGCATGGGTGAAAGCTAATGGAGACTGTGAGCAGAAGCAGAAGCAATCTGGAACAGTGGGCTAAGCTGCTGCAGAGTGGGTGCCAGGTGTTGGGTGTTCGTTTCTTTGTAAGTTTCTTCTCCCCCCCCCAAATATAAACTAAGAAAAATTCAGATGAAACTGTGCTACATGGTTTGTCTAATAGCCCCAGGGGCAAGGGACCCTAGAAAACTTGAGGGACAATGTGACATTAGACCATTTAACAACTAATCAAGTCCTCCATTATCACTCTGGTAAAGCACACTTTTGTTTTGAACAAATGGTGAGAAATCAAATTAAAATCTTTAGAAATCTTTAGAAAGAATGTGAAATCACAGATCTAGGTATTCAGATTTTCCAACTTCTCTGGTCTATGTCTTAAATTGAATCTACAGACATGATATTATATAGCACTGAATTTCAGTTTATTTAGAGCATTGATGATGTCCCTGTTTCTCAGACTGTAGATGAATGGATTCAGCATAGGAGTGACCACAGTGTACATTAATGAGGCTAACACATTTTTTCCAGAAGAGTGAGATAGAATTGAACCAAAATACTCTCCAAGCCCTGTTACATAAAATAAAGACACTACTGTCAAGTGAGAACCACAGGTAGAGAAGGCTTTATACCTCCCACTTGAGGATGCAATTCTCAGAACAGAAGAAACAATTTTACAATATGAAAATAGGATCCCTGACAGGGGGAAAACACCAAGTATGACACCAATAAGATACATTACTATATTATTGTTAAATGTACCAGGACAGGCTAGATTTAAAAGTTGGGAAGGATGACAGAAGAAATTAGAAATGTCCACACCTTTGAAGCACTTAAACTGTAAAGCTATTAAATTGTGCAACAGCGATTCGAGAAGGCTGGCTGAAAAAGATACCAAAACTAAGATGCCACAGAGACGAGGGTTCATAATAACTGTGTAATGCAGGGGGTGACAGATGGCCACAAACCTGTCATAAGCCATCACAGTGAGAAGCATGCTGTCCATACATGCAAAAATTACAAATAGAGACATCTGGGTCAAGCAACCCACATAAGAGATGACTCGGGTATGAGTGTGGATGTCCAAAAGCATCTTTGGGACAGTGGTGGAGATGAAACAGATGTCAGTCAAGGACAGGTTGGATAAGAAGAAGTACATGGGTGTGTGGATGTGGGAATCAGAGCTGACAGCCAGGATGATGAGCAAGTTCCCAAGTAGTGTCATCAGATAAATGGAGAGGAACAGTCCAAAGAGGACCGGCTGCAGTCTGTCATTGTCTGACACTCCCAGGAGATGAAATTCGAAGACATGTGTCAGATTTTTTCTTTCTGTTTTCCTCAGAAAACTTTGAAAAAGAAAGTTTATTGGAAATATGAACCACATTCAAATTCACTCAAGAATATATGTGTGTGTATATATATATATATGAATATATACTTATGATTAAGTATTCAAATATAATGTATTCAAACCTGGAATCCACATTTTTTTTCTTGAATTATGACAAACCCAAGCATTTTTAACTCTTTCATTACTTATATCTGTTTTATTCCCCTTCTTTTACACACACATGAATTTTTTCTACATTCAGATGAGCCATAGTAAAACATCATTATCACAAGGCACACAGTAAAAATATAATATACTCTATTAAAAACCAAAGAATAGGCAACAACATTCCACTTCAAAAACTTATTCTAATTTAATTATTAAATTGAACCTGGGTGTGGTGTTTCCCACTTTTGATCTCAGCACTTAAGAGGTAAAGGTAGGTAGATCTTTATGAGATTAAAACCACCCTGGTCTTTATAGAGAGTTCCAGGCCACCTGAGATAACAGGGAGACCCTGGCTCAAAAAACAAAACTAAACCCAGGAAATAAAAATCCATTTAATTTAATTCTAAGAAAATAATAAAATCCTCCCAGATTTTGAGTATTTATAAATACTCATTAAGAACCAAGACTGCATTATATGTATAATGAATTAAAATTGACTGTTGAGCAAGCTGGCACATGTTGTCAATCCAAGTACTCAGGAAGTTGAGGTAGGAGGAATAATAAAATGAAACAGGATGCATAGGATGAGAAGGATTGAAGGAGAATATGAGTGTATATAATCAAGTACATGACACAGTTGGAAAAATGTCATTATTAAACTCACCACTTTCAACCAATGTATACTAATAATTTTAATAATTTTATTGAATTTGTTCTTAATAATTATTGCATATATAGTGAATTATGATTATGATTTTTATTCACATCATAACCTAAGCCTCTCGAATCCTTATTATCTCCCCACCTCCCTAAAAATACCTGTCTCACATTCATGTCCTTTTGTTTTGTTTTGTGACCAATTGAGTTTATTCAGGGCCATCAGAGAAGATTTACTTTGCAATGAATGACAGAGGCACTTGGCTACTCCATGTGCTAAGAATACAGGATGACTAAGTATTCATAATAACATAACATCATAACATAACATAGTATAGCATAAACAGGAAATTTATAGCAATAATAATTTTGTTAGAAAAATAAAATATTGGCAAAGGTGATGACACAACAGATTAAATGCTTGCTAAACAAATGCAAGGGTTTGAGTTTGGAACCCCAGAACCAGCTTCAAAGATGAGGGGGGTTTACAGCCAATTCACAATTCCAGTGCATGGGAGGTGGGGGCAGGTATACAGAGCAAGCAGACCAACCAACTAGCTGAACTGCTGAGTGAGCTCTGGATTCAAGGAGAGATACCGAATCAATATATGCTGGAAAGCAATTGAAGATGACATCTGGTATCAACCTCGAGCTGCCACAAGAATTCATGCACACACAATGTTCCCACACACATGAAAACATGGACAGATGATCACGTATAAATGCATGCACATACATATGCATAAGCAAATGAATTCTAGTATCATATGAATAAATTAGAATTTGCAGATAATGTAGGCTCTATAGCAATACTTTTTCTTCAAAATAAAAAGTAGAGCCAGGCGTGGTGGTGCACCCTTTTAATACCAGCACTCAGGAGGCAGAGGCAGGTGGATCTTTGTAACTTCAAGCCCAGCCTGGTCTACATAGTGAGTCCCAGGACAGCTGGAGCTATAGGGAGACCCTATCTCAAAAAAAATAATATAATATAATAAAATAATAAAAAGTAGATAGTTTATAGTATCAAAATATTGGGGGGGAACCTATTACCTCCCAAGAAGTTTTCAAAATTCTTGAATTATCTAGCTTCCTTCTTTAGTAGATGCAAGTGATCACACAAATATTATGTTTTTAAATTATTTGATATGAAACTCATACCCTTGGCTTTTGGATAACTTCAAATTCTCATAAAAGTGAATGTCCTACAGCATAACTAACCCCTGCAGCTAGCCAGAGATTACAAATGATAAGTGATATGAAGCATCTTTGAAAGTTTTAATTTTATAGAAATTTGCTTCTATCAAAGTGATACAACTAGATGCTAGGCAAGACAGTGTTTCACAGTTTTTCTTTTTCTTTACTGTATGTTGTATAGTAAAACAGTTCTATACTTCCTTATTTTACAGGTCACAAATATTCTGATGTACAGTGAAATTCTTAGCACTAAGAAAGCCTCGAAGTACAGGTCTGAGTCCACAAATTATTTCTATGTAATCTTTTCTGATACATAGTTATTTAGGGTTTTTTTGAGACAGTTTCTCACTTTGTAACCTTAACTTTGTAACCTTAACTTGTCTGTAGATCACACTGGCTTTGAACTCACAGAGTACCTTGCCTATTGCCTGAGAGCTAGGATTAAAAGTGTGTTGTTACTATGCCCAGCCTGATACATATTTTATTGTAAACAGTATGTCTGAGGAAAATAAAACTCAAGCAGAAAAGTATATGGAATAAGTTTCAACTACATAAAAGCATATATGCCTAAGAAAAATGAAATTAATCTCAATCTTTTCAAGTGGAAAAAATTAGAATAAATACCTCTTTTGTGTGGTGTCTGTAGATGTTATTTTCAAATATTTAATAATGTATCAGTATCATTTATTAATTTATTTAGCTATAAATATTTACCTAAAGAGTTCCTAAAGCTCTTCCAAATCATAAATAATCTAAGGTCTCTTGTCCTTGAAAAGTTATAAATATCAATGACCTTTTGAGTCTTTCTTTGATGCATAATTAATGACTTTGAAGGATATAATGAATGCACAGTGCCAGCTGAAAGAGGGACTCATGACTTGAGTATCACGATATTCTTTTTAAAAATCCTTTGCCTCTAAACAGAACAAAACAAAACAAAAAGAAAAAAAAATCCTCCATATGCCTCTCTCCATAGCCCAGATTTAGAACATCAATATTATATGTTGATGAGAAATACTTCTTTCAGTTATGATTGATACATATTGTTTTGCCCATACTCAACTACATTTGTTTCCTAACAAAAACCATTTACTATCACCTATATCCTCTAATTTTTTAGATAAAAAGTCTTGAATGTCACAGTATAAAAATCTCTTAAAAAATAACATGTAATATTGTATAGTCTTAGGCACAATGTTTCCATCTACCCCTACCAGATGAAACATTCATTTTGGATGAAAATCAGAAAGTGAATATTTTACTGCCTTACCTCTGACCTTCTAAGATATGCAAAATGTACGTAGATCTCTCAACTACAATGTGCTCATTCTTCTTAAAGGGAATAAGAAGAATAGTATCTATCTCCATGATGTCTGTGACATCTAGTGGATGTTTGGAAATAAACATTTAGTCATCAAGTTGCTTCATAAAATGAAGAATCCCACTATGATGAAAAAATTGAATTATTGGTAACTATTCTTGCCAAAGGCATCGGAACTTGGAATGTTATGAAGTAGGAATATATCTCACCCCAAACAATCAAATCAAGATTTCTGTTTTGTTCCACTTTTCCTTTCTTATACCAGTGAAAATCTCTGGATGATTTTCAAAATTTGAATGATGTACATGACATTAAATGAAAACAGAGGTCATATGAGTTGATTCCATGAAAATAGGCAAAATGCTATTTTATGTTATTATTTCAGTCAGACTTTCCTGAAAGGGACAAAAGTGTCCAAAACAGGCAGTAAGTATGTTAACTCAATGAGTTTTAACCTATTTTTGATGTTTAATCTTACACATATGAAAAAATACCTGAAATCTGGTGGGAGGGTCTATGGTGGGCAGGGATAAGGGAAGGGATTTAAATTTGATTAAGATATATGAAATGCACAAAAACTCAATAAAATACTTTAAAATAAAGATAAATAAATAAAGTAATACTCTACGAAATGGCATCACCTCAACTAGAATTCACCTCAGAAGATAAAACTGAGACTCGCAAATAATCAAAACATATTTTTGTCTCTGAAGCTACAAGGGACAATTCAAAATTAAATTGTCAAGATGGGCATGGTGGTGCATGCCTTAATCCCAGCACTTGGGAGGCAGAGTCAGGTGGATCTCTGTGAGTTCAAGGCCAGCCTGGTCTACATACTGAGTTCCAGGACAGCTGGGACTACAGGGAGAGCCTGTCTTAAAAAGACCAAAAAAAAAAAATTAAATTGTCAGATTCACAGTCTGTCATTTAGTATTTTAGAATTATTTTGTAAACAATGGGAAATTTAAAAAGAGATCCAAGGATCATAACTACAAGCAAATTTGAAATGCATTATTGAGATGTTTCCAGTTTTCTGGGTGGATTGAATTAAGGCCTGGACTTATGTCTCCTGACATCATGAGACAAAGAATAATTACAGGCAAGGAGAAGAATATTATGGAGTGGCATAAAAATTAAGTAAACTGTGTTTATTTACTTTCTGTAATCTTTGACTAGAAAGCTATCTATCTGACTATAGCAGAGGCAAGTGATTTCAAACATGACACTGCCCTGCAATCATCACTAAACAAAATGTGAAGAGTATGGGAACACAGAATCTCTTCTTTGATGACAAGTAGTGAAGTGGCTAGTTATATTGTGAATTAGAATGCATACAATAATTCTCCTGGTAGATTCTTCATGTCTCTAATTAGACTGGAAAATGCAAACCTGTCTTCATAGTGTATACATAACAAAGTAATACTCATTACATAATTATAATAATGTACTTTTTCTGTTTCTGTAAAAAAGTAAGATGAAAATACATGTCTACACTACGGTGGCACATGATATAAAGAAACTAACCGAAAAGTCATTGCTAAGGGCTTCAATTTTATGTAATATTCTATGGAAATGCATGAGGTTATCTTTAATGTAGTGCTCCTACAGCAGTTTATGAGGGTATCAATCACTGTCTTGCTCCTCATCCTCATCA